CCCCAGCCCTGGCACTGTTCAAGGCCAGGTTGGACACAGGGGCTTGGAGCAACCTGCTCTAGTGGAAGGTGTCCCTGCCCGTGGCAGGGGACTGGAACTGGATGAGCTTTAAGGTCCCGTCCAACCCATTCAATGATTTCCAGGACCATTTCCAAAGTTTTCCTTACCAAAACAACTCCCTTCTTGACTATTGGAACACACAGGGCACCTTCGTAGAGATTTTGATCAGAGTCAATCCAGACTAGATTTTTTATGCCATCATTAGAGACAAGGTCTGTTGTATTTAACTGGAACACCATGAACTGGAAGAGCTGGCCGTCTGTGCCAATGCTTTGCACCACTACTGGCTGCTCCAAAACCTTGGGATCATTCTAGGAAAGAAGGGAGGGGGGAAGAGAACATTTACAAAGCCAGTTACTACAGAAATTGCATGAGTATTTGCTGATTCTGCACCTTCTACTTGTTTTAAAGCCAAAATCTTAATAAATGTATTGTTACCTTGCCCAGAAAATTACTCTAGTCAAACAAGTTTTGAATGTAGATTCTGTATTTTAATTAAAATTCCTCCCTCAGCCAGTAATGAAGTACCAATTTACATACACTGAGCTGTGGGATGGGTTAGTTTTACAGCTGAACTTACTCCCTGGTTACTACCCATTACCACTCGGATGTGTGTTATGAAAGACACTCATTGCTGAGCAATGGTTTTCTGGCTCAGCAGACACCAGTAACCATACCTGAAGGTTTAGAGTAAGACCTCTGGATCTGAACACTACTGGAACATGCCAGAGCGAGGGAATTTAATGACTCTTTCCACTAGAGAAAGAGCACAGGCCTAGCAAGTCAGCAGCAGTCTCCCATACGTACCCCATAGAGCATCCTGGCCTTTGCCAGCGCGTTGCCAAAAGCAAACATCAACATCTTGGCACGAAGCTGCTCTGGTCTGAACCTGTGAGGACGAATGTTGGCCGATTCCAGGAAGAACAGAGTGTGAGGGTGAGAGTATGGATAACCATCTTTAAAACCTAAATGGCAGATAATCACATCAGACATGGCTCAGCAGCAGACTACACAGCCAATGCTTCCTCCCGTATCTTCAGGAGCTGCTAAGGCAATTTGCCATGATTTCTTTGTTCCTGTGCCCAGATCCTCATTCCCACACATTCCCTACCCACGGCTGTCTCCAGGTTAACCTGAACACTAAGTCTGACAGTCTGTATTTACCTGTGTCATTGAGCTCTTTGTACACAATCACTTCCTGAAGATCAATGGTAGGAGAGATGGGATAGAAGGTCTCCAGAACATGTTCTTCAGTGGCTAGTACCTCCTCCTTGGAGGCTACTGGTGGTATTGGGGCCATAGAGTTCATAAGTATTCCATTCAGGCCACGAACCTGAAGGAGAATAGATTCTGGGGAGGAAAATTAGGCTACATTCAAACACTGCTGAAATAAGATTAAGGAAAGATGTATGCTTCCTTTTGGGCAGCAGCATTCTAGCAAGTTGCAGGTCTGCAAGGCTCACTCTCTCCCCCTCACCTCCAAACTCATCGTTCTTCTAAAATGTTAATTGCTGGTGTTCATTTCTGAACTAAACATACTTAGAACAATAACAATACAGATTTTGAACACAGAAAAATAAACAGTTCTAACACACTGGTTCCCTTCTCCCACTTACTGATATTGTTGATATTGCCTAACACCTAAATCCATCTCCTTAGGGCAAGTACCCTGCCACCACCCAAGGCTGCCCATGCTTACAGCACTATTTAGAACTGAAAGAATTACTTGGTTCCATAAATTGTTCTGTTTTATTCCAAGCCCTCAGCCTTAGAGCTAGCAGCTTTGTTACCCCTCTTATGTTAATGAAAAGAGCTAAATGCTTCCACCATAGCAGCAACTAACCTCTTTCCCATGTAGCTGCTATCCTGTAGTTTCTAGCCAACATTCTTTTAGCCAGAGAAGGATACTTTGCAGACATTAACCGACATATATGTATCAAGTCTTCAAACAATACTGGGCTTTAGAATAAGGAAGAGAAAGAAAAAGAGTTATATATACAAAATGTGATCACGATGGTGGGCAGATGCTTCTGGGACATGAAAGCTGTAATATTACTGTATGTTAAACACGTAACAGTGTAACATTTCCAAACAGTTAACACAGACTTCAGATTAATATCCCACACACCAGCCCTGTTCCAAGTTGGCAGATGTAATATGCTTACTGTTAGCTGTTTAAAAACTGACATTCTGCATCAGCTAGGGGTTGATCTCAAGTTGAAACACAGACCTTGGCCTGAGAGAAGCTTTGATGTAGAGTGCGTGTTTACATCGGTCCTACTGTCAATACACAGAATTGGGCTGGGGTTTTCTTGCTTGGTGGTGGTGGTTGTTTTGTTTGTTCTCCAAGTTGACCACTTGATACAAAGGATGTAACAGTTTTGCATGACAAGTGAATCAGCAGTAGATCTATGTGTGAATTTCCTCTGTAGCGTTAAGAACTCTGGTCCTTAAGCTACCTGCTTGAGGACCATCTTATTCTAACATCAGATCTTCCCTACGCCTGCAGACTCACCAATAATGTTCTCTCTTGGGAATAACTTCTGTCGTGTCCCAGAGCCTTGCGTGCGACACCGCCCGCTTCACCTCCTCCTCGTGGTCCTCCAGCTGATGAGCCGGGTTCTCAATGATGCTCCGCACGGACGGAGGCAAACCTTCCCCCAGCTTCGTCTTGGTGAGCCACTGCGCCTGCCGGACCCCTTCACACAACAACCAAGAGAACACGCGTTAACGAGGCCGCTGGGCGGGCTGGAAGCGTGGTTAAGTTCAGGACACAGACACGCAATTCCCCGCGCGTTCTACACGCTATGGGAGGTGACACCTTGGCCGGGGGGGGTAGGGGGGAAGAAGGGTAAGTGCTTCAACACGCTGCGCGGCC